GGACTGACAATATGTAGTGATGGATGGAGTGATCCCAAAAGAAAGCCATTGATTAATTTCATGGCAACTTCTAGAAATGGTCTGATGTTTCTTAAAGCCGTGAATTGTTTTGGTGAAATAAAAGACAAAGCTTTCATTGCATAACTTATGAAAGAAGTCATTGATGAAGTGGGACATTAAAATGCGGTTCAAATTGTAACAGACAATGCGGCTAATTGCAAAGGGGCAGGAGTGATTACTGAAATCATGTACCCTCATATTTATTGGACTCCGTGTGTTTTCCACACACTTAATCTTGCTTTGAAGAATATTTGTGCGGCTGTGAACGTAGATGACAATGAAACTACATATGATCAGTGTAGCTGGATTACTGGAGTTTATTATGATGCTGTTCATATAAATTTTTTTATCATGAACCACAACATGTAACTTGCCATCTTTACTCGATTTTGCCATCTTCAATTACTTTCAGTTGTTGATCCTTGTTTTGCATCAATCATTGTGAAGTTGAAAAGGTTTAAGCTAATTAGACGAGGTCTTCAATCAATGGTCCTAAGTGATGAATGGATTTCATACAAAGAGGATAACTCAGGGGTTGCAGCTTTTGTGAAAGAAAAGGTTTTAAATGATGAATGGTGGGACATGTGATGATAAGAACATGTGATATTGATAAACCATGTCTTCACTTAGTTTATGAGATGTGGGACTCTATGATATAGTTCACAAATCTACTTTATGAGATGATAAGAACATGTGATATTGATAAACCATGTCTTCACTTAGTTTATGAGATGTGGGACTCTATGATTGAGAGGGTTAAGCTTGCAATTTATAAAAAAGAAAATCATCCTCTTACAGATTTTAGTCCATTCTATGATGTGGTTTATGATATTTTGTTCGCTCGTTGGACAAAGAGTAATACTCTACTTCATTGTCTAGCTCACTCGTTAAATCCAAGGTATTCTATTATTATTTTACTACACCTTATTTTTATTGACATGTGTTATATATTCTAATATCATCTTACAACTTGAAGGTTTTATAACGATGGATGGTTGAAAGAAGATTCCAATAGAGTAGCTCCTCATCGAGATCCTGAAATTTCAAGAGAGAAAATGAAATGCTTTCGTAGGTTGTTTCCGAATGACGAGGAGCATAGTAAAGTTCTTGGAGAATATGTACAATTTTCACTGAAGAGTGGACCTTTTGATGATTTAACATCTCTTTCAATGAGATACACCTCGGATCCTAGGAACTGATGGGTTAACTTCGGTGCTGAAGCTCCTCGTCTACAATCTTTAGCATTCAAAATGCTTGGACAGCCATCATCATCATCTTGTTGTGAACAAAATTAGAGTACATACTCTTTTATTAATTTGTTGAAGAGAAATAGGTTAAATCTAAGTCGTGCTGAAGATTTAGTTTTTGTTCATAACAATCTACGTCTTTTATCTAGAAATTCTGGTCAATATGAAGAAGAAAGGACGAAGATGTGGGATGTGGGTGGTGACAGATTTGACTCTTTTGATGATGCCGGATTTTTAGAGTTTGCAGAACTCTCCCTTGATGAACCAGAGTTGGAAAATGCTTTGACCTCAGAGGGTTTTGACTAGTGATGTTTTTATTTGAGGATTTTAAAAACTAAGTTTATTTGTTATTTATTTATTTTTCCAAACATGATAGTTTTGATATTACAAGTATTCCATTTTACTTTTTATGCTAATTAAGTACATCATTGAATTGTTTTATGCTAATTAAGTAGAGTATTATTTTTAACATTTCCATGCCTATATTTAATATTTTAATTATTTTTTGTTGTCGAATCCTTTCCGTCCTCGCATCCTGAAATTTTTAAAAATGCCGCTTCCTGAATCTGTCCCCGTCCCCGTATATGTGCCTGCACCCATCCCAGTGCAACCTAGCTTTCCGTCGGTGTTTTCCATCGTATTTTTTGCATTTTCTTGTAGTGCAAGTGGGTATAACAAGTTCTTTCTTGTAAACAATAGGGGTAAATGCAATCATAATAAATCAATCTTGAATTTGCACAAAACCAAAAATGGAGTAATAACTCCCAAAAATACTGGTATAAAAACGCAACCAGAAGTGTTAGTAACCACATTGATGAAACTTTAATTCCACCAAATATAAATCTCACAACTCTCAAGATGTATAGAATAATAATGGAGATAAAATAATAAGACCCTAAAATGGTAGGGAAAAAAACCTAAATAGGACTAAAACATATCAAATATACCTAAATAGGAGTCCAAAACATAAATTCCCCAAATAGGACTTAGTTTGCATGGCCATCCCCAAAATACCCTACCCTCCCTCTCATCTTGCCGCAAACCTTTATTTACCAAACATAAAATAAGTATATTACTATTAAAGTTAAGTGTTGCATTATTGTTGACATAAGGTGGCCATTTACAATATGAAATTNAAAACATATCAAATATACCTAAATAGGAGTCCAAAACATAAATTCCCCAAATAGGACTTAGTTTGCATGGCCATCCCCAAAATACCCTACCCTCCCTCTCATCTTGCCGCAAACCTTTATTTACCAAACATAAAATAAGTATATTACTATTAAAGTTAAGTGTTGCATTATTGTTGACATAAGGTGGCCATTTACAATATGAAATTTTAGTTTTCTCATTTACACGTACACCAATTTATAAGAGTCCCTAAAGTTGGTCATGTATATGTCAATTTGTGGCACTGTACACAGCGTTGAATGATAAAGGTTATTTAAATGAAACGAAATTATGAAATAAAAGTGTCAACAAGGAAGGACATTTTAAAAAGTACATTACATCTTAGTACAAGTAATTTTAACACAACTAAATCATACTAAAAAAAGTCATGTAATGCAACATAAAGTGATATCAAATAGTGTTTGGATCTTCCACTTATGAAATAGGATTTCTATGTGTTTGGGTGGACTATACCAGCATATGTACATATATACTAACGTCTCAATTTTGTAGAAAGGAGAAATAAAATCATAACAAGATAAGTCGGGACGTCTCCTAACAGCAGCCACCGCATGAACGCAAATAAATTGATCCAATTAGAATTCACAACATGTCCATGTTTTGTCCTTTAAACTCATATGGACATGTTGACTTTAAATGCATAACAAAAAAATAAAAATATGCAATTAAAAAAATTCATGATAGTCCAACAAAGTATGTAATGTGGATATTACCAGTGTCATAATTTGTAATGTGGTGATGAATATTACGAACCATTGTAATGTAAAGTGTCACAGTATGTAATGTGGTAATGTGTATTACAAAGAGTTATAATGTAGACGGGGCAGATTGTGAATTGTGACACGGAAAGGAAAAAGAGGGCAAAATCGGGAGAGAAAGAAAGAATGTGGCGGGAGAGGTCCTATTTGGGGGATAAAAAACATGAACTCCTATTTTAGCGATAAACACAATGTTTTAGTCCTATTAGGGGTGATTTCTAAAAATAGTATGTAAGACTTCTCCCCATACTCGTATGCCCTAGGGAAGTATATATAGGCTTTGTTTGGTAACAGCTTTTTCGATTAGCGTTAGCGTTTTGAATGAAATTTTAACGGTGCAGATTAATTCTGAAAACGCTAACGCTAAAGGCTACCGTCGGATAGCTTTTTCAAAACGCTAACGCTAATCTCTGACGCTGATGCCAAACGGGGCCATAGCGTCCCAAGCTTCGTAATCCAAACAAGTATCTTTAGGGAACTAGGTAAACTTCTTTCCAAATAATTGACCATTATTAATTTATTTGGGTATTAGCACAAACTTATTAATAATATTTGACTATCCAACCTAGCAGCCCATTTACTTCAACCCATTATTTTCTCCCTAACCCAACTAAGTTTGTCTTAATTAGCTCCCTGATCCTCGTATAAATTGTGATGGTTTGTGCCTTGTGTTTAGGTGTGGAAAAAATAGAGTCTTTGAGAGTTCTTCCTCTGTGTGAGCGGTTTATGTTCTTCTTAGTTTCTTTGCGAGTGAAGTGTTGCTCCTTTGGGTAATTTAGTAGTGCATAATTATGTACTCATTTTATGGTGACCCGAACCTAATTGAAATAAATAAATAAATACACCAAACGATGGTTGAGTTCACCTTTGTTTTTTATATTTGTTTTCTTTTGGTCAAACCTTTGTGGTCAACAATATTACTCCAGTACGTTGTGTCTTTTATCCGATTCAGTAATCTTTGTCTCCGATTTCTTCTTTTCAGATTACATGTGTCCGTCAAGCGACCAACTAGCAACGGTCGTTGATCTCTGGCAAGCCGGAGTGCAGCCGCCTCAAATGATCCATGTGGTTGAAGGTAGTAGACAACTGGCGATTCCAGTCAGCAAAATTCTGGCTTGGTAGAGGCAATGTTTTGAAAACCGGACCGGACGTCGAACCGGATAAGCTACTGGGTCAAGGGTTAACCGGTTGAACCGGGTTGACTCGAGTCAACGACCCGATCAACGACCCATGCCTTGGTATATAACATTCATATTTATGTTTAGATAATAAAAAATTAAATAATACCATGTTTTGTGGACTATTTTTAAAGATAATAAAATATTACCACATAACTTAAATACCTATCATTTGTAAGGAAAGATGTAAATATTATTTTTAATGTTAAATAAAATATTTAATATTGTGTTTTTTCTTCTCCATGTTATTTTCAATGTTATTGTTCATATATTCTTTCACACTTCCCATGTTTTGTAATACCCCAAGTATATAATTAGTATAAACGGAGTATTTCTTCATTTTATAGATGATAATATTTGTTTAGATGTAAATTATTCATTACTCCGTATTATTTAATACAAAAAATAATATTTATTTTTTACTTTGAAATATTTTAAAAGATTATAAATAACTACGCAATACAAACATATTCTTTCTTACAAATAGTTAAAAAAATTTTAAATTCCCTCAGCACAAATAAGAAACACTATATATACTATTCTGCATGATTTTGGTAACAAGTGCTTAGTAGCTTAAGTGGTTAGAGTCTTGAGAGGTGTATCCGTGTATGGTGAGGTTTAGTGTTCGATTCCTAACTCCAACATTTTATCTTATAGCAAAAAAAAAAATTGGACCCGACCCGCGGGTCGGCCGGGTCGACCCGGTCCACCGGTTCTACCGGGTTTCCCGGGTTTGGGGGGGTCGATCGGTTTCCGGATTTACCATTGAACCGGACCGGAGTGCTCACCGGTTCGCGGTCCGACCGGTTGGACCGGCCGGTCCGGTCCGGTTCTAATAACATTGGGTAGAGGAGGTTCAGGCGAATAGAGACAGTCTCACTCTTTTTAAAGCACTTAATTTTCCTTCGTGGGGTAGGTAAGTTGAATCTATGCATTATATTCGCGCAGGAATAAGACTCTGTATCTCTTTGCTTTCGTAGCAATTTTTAGGGATATTTTATTCCACTTCGTTCTCTAATCCTATTTTAGTTTGTGCCCGTGTGAAAGACCAACGAGATTAGCTAAAGCAATTTTGTAATGTATTATTCTCAATTTTTTTCGTGTAAGAGCTTCAAACACAGTGAGCCAAACTTACAAATCAGACCAAGGTTTTTACCTTTGTGGTGATGACTTGTTGAGTTTGTATTCTCTTTTGTGGTGAGTTTTTGTGTTTGATTGTTTTGGTTGTTTCTTTCTTGTGTGGATATGTCCACTATGAATCAGTATATTTTGACTCTTTTCAATGGTAAAATTGATTATAGTTGGAAATCAAAGTTGAAGTGCGTTCTTGTTCATAAAAAGTTTATAGGATTGTTTGTAATTCATATACAGAAACAAACACTAAAGGAAAAAGAGTTAAATGAATGAAATTGATTGTTTCATTATTTAATTGAACTTTACTAACTCTATGATTATAAAAGTTGGTATTTTGGAATGTCCTAAAGATCTTTGGAAAAAATTTGATGATCTTTATACTGAAACTTCTTTGCCGAATAAGATTTTTTTACTTAAAAAGTTTTTCAAGTCTAGATTGGACATGTCTAAAGACAATGTAGACAATATTTCACCAAACTGATTTCTGATATTAAATTAACGTGTGATAAACATACTTATGATTACACCTAGGGATGAGCACGGTTTGGGACTGATGAGAAATAATACGTGGCTCGGTCCACATTTCCCAATTATTTACGAAGAACAGTCAAACCGGTCATGTTTAATAAAATGGAGGAATAATAGAATATTCCTCCGTAGATGCTCAAGCTACTCCTATAAAAGGAGGGCTCCCCCTCAATGTTAAGGAGGCCAAAAACTCACACTCTCCCCTGCCCACTTTCTTTCTCTCTCTAGATTATGTATATTTTCTTGTTTAAGAGCTTGTAGCTCCACCATTAATGGCTTTCGAGCCCATTTCATGTACCGTGTACACACCCCTGATATTAATAAAAATCCCACGTTGGCAAGGTAACACCAAAAAAGGGGGTAAATTTCACCAATGGTACCTGAACTTTAGCTGGAATTTCGAAGTGGTATCTGAACTTCAAATCCTTTCACAAAAATCCCTGAACTTACACAATCCTTTCACTAATGAGCCATTAGCCCGTTTCTAGGTTAACTTCCGGTCATTAGGGCCAAATTCGAATTTTATATATTTTAAAATTTGCAATTTGACCCCATTTCTTCTTTTCTTTTCTTCCAGGCCCCGCCGCCGCCGCCCGCCGGTCAAAGTCGCCGGAAAATGAACTTTTTCCGATTCCGGCAAGACCAATGTCATTCTCTTCGTCTTGAGACGAGGATCAATAATATCCAAACCATTTTGTCTAATTTTGCCTGTAACTTCTTGAATCTGAATTTTTCTACTCGAAAAAACCCTAAAATCGAAATTGGATCCAAAATGGGGGGTTTTGCAAATCGTCATCAAATCTTGCAATTGAGGGGTCCTTGGAGGTCGCACGGATTCCACGACCGCATTGGAGTTGGTGCCCACCGTCAATTTCGCCGGAGTTGGCCGGAAAACGCTCCGACCCGCCGGTGGTTCTGGGCTGAAGCTGTTAACACAGCTTGCTATACTCAAAATAGGAGTATGATTTATAAAAGGCACAACAAAACTCCCTATGAACTGTGGAACGGGAGAAAGCCTAATATATTATATTTCCATATTTTTGGGAGCAAGTGCTTTGTGTTAAACAATGGGAAGAATCATCTGAACACTTTTGATGAGAAATCAGATGAGGCCATCTTCCTTGGATACTCTATGGTGAGCAAAGCATTCAGAGTCTTCAACAAAAGAACCATGATCACTAAAGAATCAATACATGTTATTTTTGATGAAAAACATGTGGTTGACAAGCCATCAAAGCATGATCATGAGGTTCTGGATCTCTCAGACAAGGATGAAGAAATCAATGAAGGAGATAGAATGAAGCCTACGGAGTTCATTCCATTCGGAAGTCTACCACTGAATACTTCACAGAGAAACCCGGATTCAGACAGTGCTGAGCCTAACGGAAATCATGGCCAGCCTTCCATTATTCCGGATCACTCAAACGGTGACAATTCTGGAAATGGCGACCCAGTGCCAATCCATCCAGAATCACCAACAAACTCTGTTCTTCAACCAGAAGCTGAATTAGATCAACCAATCAACCCTAATCAACACAATCTTCGTTGGTTAAGGGATCATCCTCCTTAACAAGTCATTGGAGATATTAAATCTGGCGTTCGCACAAGGAGTGCTCAACAGAATCAAGAAGCTATGCTTGCTTGTTTCATCTCACAAGTGGAGCCAAAGAATATTGAAGAAGCTCTAGCTGATTCTGATTGGATTAATGCAATGCAAGAAGAACTCAACCAATTTTCCAGAAATGACGTCTGGAAACTTGTTCCCAGACCTACTCATCAACATGTCATTGGGACAAAGTGGATCTTTCGGAACAAGATGGATGAAAACGGCGTTGTTGTCAGAAACAAAGCCCGGTTGGTTGCCAAAGGATATTGTCAAGAAGAAGGTATAGATTTTGATGAAACCTTCGCTCCAGTTGCTAGACTTGAAGCTATAAGGCTGTTTCTAGCCTTTGCTGCTCATTAAGATTTCAAAGTCTATCAAATGGATGTCAAAAGCGCATTTCTAAATGGAAACCTCGAGGAAGAAGTTTATGTGGAACAACCTCCAGGATTAGAGTTACACACTAAGGGAGATCAAGTGTACAGACTCAAAAAGGCGCTGTATGAACTCAAACAAGCACCAAGAGCTTGGTATGATACATTGTCTCAATTTCTTATAGAAAATGGATTTACCAAAGGAGTCATTGACAAGACATTGTTCAAACTACAAGATGAAGAAGATCTCTTATTGGTCCAAATCTATGTGGGCGACATTATATTTGGCTCAACTAAGGAAGATCTCTGCACCAAGTTCTCAACCCTCATGCAAGGAAAATTTGAGATGAGCATGATGGGGGAGCTCAACTACTTCCTTGGTCTTCAAATCAAACAGAGAAGTGAAGGGACTCTCATCAACCAAGCCAAGTACACTAGGGATCTTATCAAAAAATTCAAAGTTGATCAGAAGTCATCCGTTTCTGTCCCCATGAGTACATCCACCAAGCTTGATATGGATGTAGATGGAAAGGATGTTGATCAAACTCTCTACAGAGGAATTGTTGGATCACTACTCTATCTTACTGCAAGCCGTCCGGATATCTCATATGGAGTAGGTGTTTGTGCCAGATTCCAGTCAAAGCCAAAGGAAAGTCATCTGATAGCAGCTAAAAGAATTCTTAGATACCTCAAAGGAACTCAGAACATCGGTTTGTGGTATGCTAAGAGCAATTCATTTGAGTTAGTGGGATACTCAGATTCTGACTTTGCCGGATGCAAAGTTGACCGGAAAAGTACATCTGGTACTTGTCAATTCATTGGTGGAAATCTTGTTTCTTGGTTCAGTAAGAAACAAAACTCCATCTCTACATCAACAGCAGAAGCAGAGTTCATTGCTGCTGGTAGTTGTTGTGCTCAGATCTTGTGGCTAAAGCAACAACTACTGGACTATGGAGTCAAGACAAGAGAAGTGACAATCTTTTGTGACAATCAAAGAGTTATAGCCATCTCACAAAATCCAGTGCATCATTCTCGCACTAAGCACATTGATGTCAAGCATCACTTCATCAGAGATCATGTGGAAAAGAGAGATATCAAAATTGAGTATATCTCAACTGAAGAACAACTGGCGGATATCTTCACAAAACCACTAAGTGAAGCCAAGTTTTCCGACTTACTTCACAAAATTGGTCTAATTCAATTAGACTGAGTGCAGTACACGTGGCAGTCCACTTTCCACGTCTGTCAATATATTGGGTAGGCACATGGCCTTGGGAATAGTCAAAAACCCAATCGCCACTAGCCGCATAAACCACCCAAATCAAACCAAATCGCCACTATTCAGATCTCAACCGCCCACTCAAATTTTTTCGTCTTCTTCGCGAAAATTTTGAATTACCTCAAGAACCCTAAAATTTCTTCAGATTCTTCAGATTTTCTCACTGAAATTCCTAAGAAAATGAAGATTGTTGGCGCTAATGTCCATTTTTAGAAATTGGAAGCCAAATGCTCGTCACCGGCGTTCTATCAAAACTATATGGAGATGATAGCTGCTCAAGAACTCTCCAAATTCCTTCATATGGAGATCCACCTCAAATATGAAGAAGAAGTTCTTGAATTCTACAAAAATGGAGAGGTCAAGACTGCTCATTCAAAGAAGGACCCATAGAGGACGATTCAAGTCATCAAGTCCATTGTTGCAGGTACCAAAGTGAAGCTTTCGTAGAAGAAATTGGGAGAAAAGCTTCACCTTCCCAACTCTGGAGCTGAAATTGGGAGATTTCCAGTAAAAAATCTGGACTGGAATATTATTGGAATTTCTGGGCAAATTCCTTCTGGCCCAGCGAAGAAAGCAGACCTGAACAACGACTACAAACTTGTTCTGGAATTGGTCATCGCCGGCCTCGAATGTGGAAGTGGAGGACATGCTGATGACATCACCCAAGAGAGAGCCTCCATCATCAACGCTCTCATTACCAAATCAAAGGTAAATTGGGCTGCACATTTCTTCAATTCCATATCAAAGCATCTGGGAAAGCCCAACCAGAAATACCTTTGCCAAGGTCTGTACATTGGACATATTTTGGAGTCTATGGGTGCTGCATCTAAAGGGAAGAAGTATGGAGCCAGATATTGGCTATACTACCTGTCTTCAAAAGGGGAAAACAGAGCTGGTACTAGTGCTGCTGCTGAAGAAAGTTCTTCAGACAATGTCCCACTCATCAATTTGACGAAAACTGCCAAAAGGAAGCAAGTGGTGTCTCCCTCTCTCAGTATAGAAGCACCACAGAATCTCGTTCCAGTAAATCTTGAAGAAGAAGAAGAAGTCTCTGTCCAAAGAGAACTTCAAAGGAAGAAGAAGAGGAAAATCACCTCTCCCTCATTATCTGGAAATGTCAACCCAGATGAATTGAAGGAGAAGGAACCTGCTGAGGAAACCTCTGCCCACAACCAGAGTCCTCAACAACTGGAAGATGAAGCTCATAGTCTTCCAACCCCCTCACCTCAACCTCAAACAGATGATGCTGATAACCAATTCTGGCAGCTCTACTATGATTGGAGAGTTTGGAAGGTTGGAAATTCAGCAGAGCAGTTGTTGGGTTGGGACCAACAACTGAAGAATGAGAAGATCATCAAGAAGTGCTTAGGACTGCCAGTCAACCACACCTGTCAACAAATCTTGGATGATGCCTGGGTATGGCAAAGGAACTATGAAGACCTGCATCAGGAATACTTGGCCACCACACCAGTTTCAGAATTTGAAGTTGATGATGAGGGTCCTGCAGTCTACAAACCAGTCTTCTCAAAAGCCACAGAAGATCAGATGGTTCTCACTTCTGAAGCACAGGCTAACTTGGAAGCAACAGCTGAGGATTTCCAAATATTTCTAGAAACCACATCTGCGTTTGAAACGGTTCTGCCTGAAGCTGCAGTCTCTACTCCACAAGAACAGAACCAAGAAGCATCAGAGGAAGAACTTCAGCAACATCTCTAGTCTCAAGTTCTTGAGATTCTCACAACTGCTTGTGGGATCTCCAACCAGCATGAACTTGAGATCCCGGAGAAGTTAGGAGAAATTCTGGAACAGTCCACTTTTCCAGAAACAACTGAAGCCCAAGAGGAGCAAGCTGTAGAAGCCCAAGAGGAGCAAGCTGTAGAAGCCCAGAGGAATTCTGCAGAAACTGAGAAGGAAACTCAAATGGCAGAACTGGAGGCCTCTAAATCTCTAGTAGCCATTTTTGAAAAATAGAATGAGGCTGAAGAAAGAGACTCCCTCTCTAGGGATATATCAAATTTTATACTTGAGGAAGCAGAAGAAGAATCTGAAAGGACGCTGAAGATCAATGATGAAGAAGATGTGCAAGAAGATGCTGAATCTCTTCCTATGCAACTTTTTCAATGAACACCCTCTTCTCATCAGGTAACCAACTTCCATTTTCATAGCTCTTCCATTCCTACACTTCCGGATGAGGTACCGGAAATCTGGACAAAGAAGGTCCAAGGGCTGATTGAACCAACCCTAGCATCTCAGCATGCCTCCTTTAGGCAAGAGATAGAGCAGATGGAAGCCAGGTACAACCAGCTGATTGAGAAATCCGAAGAGACACACTGCTCCAATCTCAAGGAGATAAGAAAATCAGTGGATAAGATTCTAGAGATCATTTCTCTATTGAGTAACTCTGTGAGCGACACAATGGAGACATATGCATCTGACAGTTTTCTTCAACTCAAAGAAGTTAACAAAATCAGAGAGCAAATAGCAAATGTCACAGTCAGTCTGCAGAAGCAAATGTCACTTCTTCAAATGGACATCAAATCAGCTCTGGCAGTGTCTTCAGCAAATCAGGTAGTAACCAAAGACTACTTGAAGGTTATAATTGACAATCATAAGGAAGCATTCAGACTGTTCAGACACTTGAGCACAAACTCTGGCAACCGCAAGATGGAAGTAATTCTTCAACAACACATTCCATCCTTGATTCCAGAGCTCCCTATCGCAGTCAAAGAAGGAGAAATCTCTTATATTCCCTCGCATCTGAAAATGACTGACCTGATCCTCGAAGCTCAGAGAAATAATCCGAAGAACTCAGCACAACATCTATCTAGCTTAGGACTGGATAGAACAGAGGCTGTTGGAACCATTGTGACACATTTCCCAAATGATAACCAAACAAAGGAGAGATACCACAACATAAGGCGCATTAAAGAACTTTGTGGAAATATGCAAGGCATCGGTGAGCTTGCCAGATCTTCAAAGCGCAAGAAGCACTGAAGGCTTTTTTCATCAAACTAGGGGGAAAGTATGTGAAAACACTAATTTGCTTTGATGAAAACACCTTCTTGTTTAAACATTGCTTGATTGGTTTAAACATTGCTTCAATATTTCTCTTAATTGTGCTTATTATGCTTGATTATGCTTACTTCAAGTATGATTTTGAGATTTATTCCTGAGCGCATACATTCAGGGGGAACTTAACTTTTTTTGGCTAACAATTGTTTTTGGCAATGAATTATTGATGAACTCTAAGCAATGGAAGATGGATATCTCAGTTTTAGTACTAAAGTTGGAAATCTCCGATTCAGGTACTTTACATAATCTACCTTCCTAAACTGAGCTTTAATCCTTAATTCATTTTCCAACTAGCTCTAAAAGTACTGGTCCTTAGGATTTTTTTTGTACAGGACTTTGGAAAAATAGTACCACTTTTCTTTTAAAAATAAATTTCATATTCTTTTTGGTACTACCTCGTCCTAATTAGAAATTAGAACTATAGGGAATGAAATATGATAGTTTTATTTTGGGCCTTGAGAACCCAATAGGAATAATTTCCCTTTAGTGCATAAGATTTGTTTTTGAGCCACTCTTTTGGGCTTAGCCAAACTAAAACAGTTACCTTTCTCAAACCAAACAAAACTGATTTTCAAATTGGAACAGTTTCAATTCTTTGGTAATTGGTAAAAGATTCCTTCAACTTTTCAGAATTAAACTTCTTGGAAGTTGAAACTCTTTTACTCTCACCGTTCCAACTACTCACTTTATGGAACCCGTGAACCTCCCCTCTCTCTACCTCCTCTCCTATTTAAATCAAGACATCCCAATTTATTCCTATCACAAACAATTCTTTCAACATGAAAAGTCTTCAAACTCACTGTCTGAGAAAAACACCAAGAAAAATATCCTCAATGGAGAAATTTTTCTTTCTCACCCTCATAGACGGCAATGGAGAAAGCCTTATGAGAAGAAAAGACATTCAAAGTCTATCAAACGCAACGCCATCCGCGCAGATTAGCAAGATCTGCTGACGCTGAAAGCGGTTAATGGCAGAAAATATCACAAAATCTCAAGACAAGACTTGGTTTAGGAATTATTGTAATTTGAATAGTATTAGTTTAAGAGTTTTTGTTAACAAGCTGTATATTATGAGAAACTAAAAGAAAGTTATAAAATTAGTTCTCAGTACAGCGACCAGAACTCTTAAACACTTGTTTGTCATTATCAAAGAGGGGGAAATTGTTGGGAAAAATATTATAGATTTTGATGATGATGTATTTAGAATGTAATAGGGACTTTAGGTCTCCCCCAATATTCAATGTAATTTTTCTTTTTAGAAAATATTGTTAAAACCGAGTTCTTGAGATTTCCAATAAGGTTGTGATATTTCTTTAAGCGGTTTGATGCCTGAAGACTTAATCAAATTCAGTGATTTGGAAATTGGATATCTTGATCGGAAATGACAGAGACAAGTAAGGATTTCTCAAAGCAGATGAAAATCCTCCAATCTAGAAGACTACATGATAACCGGATGTCTCGCTACAACCCGCTGAAGGCTAAGTCATCCAAGTCGGAAGACTAGCGCGGATCTCTTTCTCACCCGGAAGACTGAGAATGACTCTTCCAGATTTGTCAGCCAAGAACCGGATGCCTCAAGAAAGATCGGAACTCTCAAAAGCAGACAGGTGAGAAAAGACTTAGAAAATTGTCTAAGTCTTGAATGAAGAAATTCTACCCGTTGGTAAGGAAAAATCTATCTCTTGATTTTCAACGGCTAGATAGAAGATAACTATGCTGATTCAAGAACAAATGACTTAAAGACCAAGTCTGGACCCCTTAAATTAAAGAGCTTGTCCAGAATTCCTAAACAAGCACTAGAAGACAAAGAGAGTAAAGTGCTACAGTTCAGAATTCTTGAACAACAGCTTGAAGACGGATTCTGTGGAAAAAGAAATCCCTCCTCAAACAATTGGGTATGTCCAAACACCCATTCCAACGAGGAATCTTCAAATCACAATCTTCATTCAAAAATTGAAGCCAGCAAATGCAACGGATAGTCTATTTTGATTCAACGGGTAGATTATCCAATCTAGCTATAAATAGCATCCTTGGAAGACTAGAGAAGATGCGATGAGATAGACAACCAAAATGAAGCAATCTCTAACAACAAAGCTATCTCTTTCACAGTTAGCCCAAAAAGCTTGATAAAGAGAGATTTCTAAACTCCTTATCCAGAAGCAAACTCCTCCTCCTTCCAAGGAAAAATGGGATGATAGAGATTGCATAAAGCACAATCTGGACAACGTCGCCAAAGCAGCCATCTTAATCCCATCACCTTCTCCAAGATCAAGCATCTCAAGACTGCCATGGAGATTTGGCAAGGTCTTGGGAAGCTATGTGAGGGATCAGAGGACCTGAGAAAGCAGAAGATAGAAGTCCTGCTTGAGAAGTTCAAAAGCTTCAAAATGCTTCTCGGAGAATCATTTGATATGTTGGATGAAAGATACCACAAGATATTAAATGATCTTCTATCACTTAACCACGTTCTTTCTCCCAAAGAAAAGAATGTAAGGTTTCTCCCAAAATGCTTCCCTCCTGAATCTTATTTGTGTTATAACTGCAGGAAGCCTGGCCACTAGAAGTCAGCATGCCCGTACCCAAAGGTGGAGAAGTACGGAGAGAGAGAAAGGAATGAGAAGAAAAAGAAGGCAATGGTTGCTGCTGAAAGTGACAAGTCATCCAGCTCAAGCTCGGATGAAGAAGCTCTCGTCTGCATGGAGCGCAGAGTTGAGAAGTCCAACCATGAAGATAGGTGGACTATGTCAGAAGATGACACTCTCTGCCTAATGGCCAAAGATGATGCTGATCAAGAGGTAACCTCACAAACCTCCTGCTCATCTTCTTATGAAAGCATACCAACTTCTGAAAATCTTTTTGACCAGTTCAAAAAGATGATGGAAGATTTTGAGGAGATAAATCTCAAACACTCATCCTTAACAGAAGAGAACAAGTTATTAAGTGAAGAGAATCTCAAGTTGACTGAAGGTCGGAAAAGTCAACTAGATGAGATCACTTAACTTAAAGCTGAAAATGAATCTCTCTCTAAAAAGGTGAAATCCCTCAACAAGGAGCTAGGGATAATTAAGTCCAAAGAAGCAGTGGATAGGCTTTTTGAAACGACCAAACATAAGGGTCGCGAAGGACTTGGGTTTGACCCCTCCAGTTCCAAAAGGAAAGGGAGAACAACTTTCATCCCTCCTAAACCTACTGCTAAACCCAATAAGCAGAAAGGAAAGGAAAAGGAGAAACCAACAGAAGTTCCCAAAAAGGTAGTCCCTCCTAAGAACTATAGGAAGCTGGACAGACCTCAAAAAGGAAACAATTTCAGAAGAAAACCTTCTAACCCCCACTATACACGAGGCTATACACACTATGGGGTAGATAGGAGTTTTCCAAGAAATTCTGAGTGGAGAACTATGCCAAGATATAGTCATCCTCCACCCCAGAAAATGTTTGTTCCACCCAAGTATGCTTATAACCGTCACAGGTCACACTATGCACAACCTAGACAAAACTATAGGTCTTACGCCCGCCGCGACACTCCTCTCGCCAATGCCCATAATGCCCTGCTCAGCCATGGCGGCGGTGGCGGAGGAGGTGGCTCTAGTAATTACAACATCACCGACAAGCACTACTGGGTCGTACGTGTCTCGTCTTTTCCCTCATATGTTGTTTTTTTAAAGATTAGTTCAGGAAACAGTCTGATGTTCAAGAATTTTTTTTTAATATTCTAATAGTCAAGGACGAAGACGGGGATCCACGGATATGTGATTGTGGGGATTTGGCTGTTGTGTGGAGTGGGGTTTGGAAGTTACATAATGATCAAGAATTCAAGTGATAGCTATGAGCACATGGTTGATCATCCTCATGTGTCGGATGTGTGTTCGCGCCTCCCCTTCAGAAGCTCCATTTCGCCTCAAGGGGTCGTGAAGGGATCATATGGCAGTCCAAACGCATCTTTGGAACTAATTAATTGAAGGAATTAGTTCCCAGGACGTTCGATTAACTCCCGGCGGGTCTAGGGTTCCGTCGCTGGGGAAAATGTCAATTCAGTTTCAGCATAGATCATGCTCACCAGTGGTCTCGTTAATCCAGGTTGTCGGAGCCGAATTCTTTCCAAGGAGGAAGAGGACAAGCGAAAGAAAACAACCAGTGATCGTGTAGGAGAGATGGAGCTGGGGTCTTTTCATTTTACCATCGCACCATCTCTTTTCAAAATTATATTCCTTCAAAGAGGAAGATGACAAAAAAGAAAAAAAAAGGAGGAGCAGGAACGTGCAATCTCTACTTCAAAGAGGAAGATGACAAGTAAAAAAAGGGTGGACAGCCATGGATGCCGACCACATAAAGGAAAAGAGGATAATGACGAGGGAGTAATGCCATAATTGCCAATTACTTCAGTCCAAAAAAAGGTGTGCAGGAGGCACTTCCCCACTTATTTCATAATGGGCCCACATCCCACCATCTACATATTGGAGTGGGTAACAGGGTGAAATAAATTAAGCCATGTTATTTTGCTTATTTGTACAAGACGTCTAGCAAGGAAGACTGAGACACAGGCCCGGACCTGGCACGCTGGAGTCTTGCTCAGTATAAAATAAAAAAAAATATAAACCCGGAAGAGGGTTGGACCTGGAAGAAGGTTCAAACCGTACTTACACGGGCCCATGAGGTTTGACCGGTATCGGGGAATCAGCCGAAACCGTCAAATTGATTGGGGATTAAAAGATGCCCATTAAAAGAAATAGAAGAGGATCGTCCACCGTGATGCATCCAATTTCGACCGGTTCGGATTCCCCCTTCTCAGAGAAGACTTGAACGGGAGGGTGAGCTAAGGTCTTCCCGGGATAGTAGATATCAAAGGGTCATTAAAAGACTTAATCACCCGGAAGAGGGGGCCTTGGAAGAAGGGTGCATTTTGGTCCTTGGAGAGGGCTCGAAACCATCCGACATGGTTAATTCTCCAATGTTGATCTGGCCCGACCAGCAACATTATCTTAGAGGAAGACTGAGACACAGGCCTGACCTGGCACGCTGGTTACTACACCGGTCTTGCTCAGTATAATAAAGAAAATATGTGACCTAGTCGAACTGGTACACTGGTCTCACACCGGACTTACACATATTTTCTAATAAGCCGGGCTTATATTTTCTAATAAGCCGGTGTGGGACAAAGGCATTTACTCTACCTTATGATTCAACTTTGAGAATTAATTTCTCATTCACCCGAGCACCGTTTATGGCGTGTAATATGTCAAGACGTTCGTCTTGCTTACGAGATTAATCGTCCATAATTATTTTGGAAAAATAATTTGTGGACCCAACCGAATTTATGTCCGAAAATGTCCAATTTACTTTAAAATTTCCAACAATCCCCCACATGAATGAAAATTAATTCATGTAACTTGCAATAACTCTGAAGTTGAATGTAACACCCCAACCCGCGTAACCCGAACCGACGAGTTAGCGAGTCGGGTTGTCACTAATTTGGTATTCCCAAGCGTACTATTTTAAAAACACTTAGAAATAAAATCAAACATTCATATTCATTTAAAAACAATTCATCATTTAATCAGAGTAAATAACTGAAACGTTGCGGAAGCCTTCAAAACAACATTCAACATTCTAATAATTTAAGTAAACAAATCCAACAAACTATATTTAACTTAAATAAAATAGCATCGGGCCATCCACCAGCATCACGCTTCACTGTCCTCCAGGCTGCTCTTCATTCAATCCTTGTCCCTACCTGTAAAAATAGGGAGAGTGGAAGTATCTAACGCTAGAACTAACTCATAGATTAGCACCCACTGATATATAATCAAACAATATCAGAAGAATTAGCAAATATCGTTATCCAACAGTACCTCTGATTGCCCTTTAAATTTAGTTTAGTTCTTATGCATACTTATTCCATCTGCCTGCTAATATAATCCAAATCATACTTACTGGAGTAATGGAATCCAGGCTCTCACCCAAACCCACACTCATAACTCCAAAGCTCTCGCAATGGAGGGGGTTGAGGCCCCCGCTGGCTCTCGCCAGGGGTCAATGACCACCGTGCGCACGTTTTTAACCCTCGAGACCACCAGATGAACGACGTCACCCGCGTGACCTTAGTTTCTAATCTCAAACTGATTTATAATTTCTAATATCTAATTAAACTCAGATAAGCCTTGTACCACTAGGTGGCCTACTTCACACTTTTATTTCACAACATAACAATACACCCATAAGCTCACTAACATCTTACATACTAAGAACATCACGAACATAGGCCTAACAGAAGAACAGACGCAATCTAGATCACAAAACACATAAATCAAGCAACACAACCGGACAATAAGGACTGCTAAATGCCCAAGAGTAGGTAGGTTTCATGACTTTGAACCTACTCCTTGTAAAGTATACCTTCTCTACTGGCTGTTCAGTAGAACGTGATGTCTTTGAACTGTACTGCCGTTTGTGTAAACGACGATATACAATACACAAGTTTCAACCAACCATCATTCCGTTCTCATGGGTGTGCCCATTATGGTCGTGGAACACGCATCTGATTCTGCGAGAGTGTCAGACAAGATCAGCCCAAAATCCTTCTGTTGAAGCGACCGCACTTCACTCTTACATAGGTGATTCTTGTAAGAGTATCCCGATTACTCCACTTGGACCTCGTTGTCCATAGTTCAAGAATCATTAAAGCGTCATGCTAACCTCATCGTTTTCGGGAGTCACTATATTTAGTAGGAACGGAGGGGTGTTAAGTCGGCGATCCGGCTTGCCCCCACAGTGACCGTGCTTCGTTCCACAAGTAGGTTGTCCCATTGAACCCAGGTACCACCTAGGTTGGGTTTTCCTTCATGGAACGTTCCCAGCATAGGGTAGGGCTTTCAGACCCATTCCTACCACTAACTTGTCATGTTACTCATTGGTTAACCCTTTGGTTAATGGATCCGCTAAATTATCCTTCGACTTGACATAGTCAATCGAGATAATACTCGTATTGAGAAGTTGCCTAATGGTTTTGTGTCTACGGCGAATGTGCCTAGACTTACCATTATACAATTTGTTCTGAGCTCGTCCTATTACTGACTGACAGTCACAATAAATGCAAATAGGAGGAACTGGTTTTTCCCAGTTTGGAATATCCTCAAGTAGATTCCGAAGCCATTCAGCATGTTCTGCACACTTGTCTAGTGCTATGAACTCAGACTCCATGGTGGATCTGGCAATTAACGTTTGCTTTGAGGATTTCCAGAAAATAGCTGCACCGGCTAGCATAAAGACAAATCCACTTCTGGATTTTGAATCCTTATTATCCGCAATCCAATTGGCATCTGTGTATCCTTCCAATACGGGTGGATACCTGCCGTAGCATAGGCTATAATCTCGAGTATACCGAAGGTATCTCATTACTCGGACTATGGCCTTCCAGTGCTCAGCACTCGGATTGCTCGTATACCTACTTAGTTTGCTAATGGCGCAAGGTAAGTCTAGCCGTGTACAGCTCATCAAATACATTAGACTTCCGATAACTCTAGCGTATTCTGTCTGAGAATCGCTACTCCCTCGGTGTTTACTAAGGTGAACATTTACGTCTATCGGCGTCTTAGCTATCTTTGTATCATCCTTGTTGAATTTCTCAAGGATCTTGTCAATGTAGTGGGAATGGCTCAAGCTCAGACCATCCGGTCTTCTTAGTATTTTGATTCCAAGAATCACATCAGCCAGACCCAAATCTTTCATATCGAATCGTGCGTTCAACATGTCCTTGGTGGACTTGACCATCCTATCGTTGCTTCCGATGATGAGTATGTCGTCTACGTACAGACATAAAATGACATACCCTTCAGATGTGTCCTTAAAGTATACGCACTTATCAGACTCATTTATCTTAAAACTGTTGCTCATCATTACCTCGTCAAACTTATCATGCCATACTTCTGGCGCTTGTTTAAGACCGTATAATGATTTCACAAGTTTGCAGACCTTCTTTTCTTGGCCCGGAACCTTAAACCCTTCGGGTTGTTCCATATAGATTTCTTCATCTAGTTCGCCATTCAGAAAAGCTGTCTTCACATCCATTTGGTAAACATCCAAGTTTCGTAAGGATGCAAATGCGATGATCATTCTGATAGAATCTATCCTAGTCACAGGCGCGTAAGTATCAAAGTAGTCATAGCCCTCGCGTTGGCTATACCCCTTGATCACAAGTCTAGCTTTGTACTTGTCAATGGAGCCGTCAGGCTTCATTTTCCTCCGAAAGACTCATTTGGAACCTAATGGCTTACACCCTGGAGGGAGATCAACCAGTTCCCAAGTGTGATTCTGAAGGATAGAATCAACTTCACTTTTTATGGCTTCTTGCCACTGAGGTCCCTCAGTTGAGGTTACGGCCTCGTGATAGGTTCGTGGTTCCTTTTCTACCAAACAAGTTAGAATATCGGGTTCATTTTCCATTAGAAATGACAAAGTTCCTTTGTCAAATTCTATCAGATATGTTTTGAAGTCAGAACCGAACGTCTTTTCAGTTCGCATTCTTTTACTTCGTCTCAATTCAGTCTCATGTTCGACTTCATCATCATCGTCATCGGAATTCAACTGATTTGGTTCATCATTATCCATCATCTCAGCATGAGAACGTTTGGACGAGCTGGCTTCGTCACTTGACTTGCACGGAAAAATATGCTCGAAAAACGTTGCGTTCCGTGACTCGATGATTGTGTTCTTGTGAATTTCAGGATTATCTGATTTATACACCAAGAACCGGTATGACGTACTAATGTACCCGATGAAGATTCCATCAACTGTTTTTGGACCGATCTTCATCTTCTTCGGTGGTGGTGCAAGTACTTTCGCGAGACACCCCCACACTTTGAGATACTTATAGGATGGTTTCCTATTGTGCCAAAGTTCATACGGAGTTTTGTCAAGTTTCTTACGAGGTATTTTATTTAGTAAATAATTACTTGATAAAACAGCCTCCCCCCACATGTTCTGAGATAATCCAGAACTAAGCAGCATCGCATTCATCATGTCTTTTAGAGTGCGATTCTTGCGCTCCGCTACTCCGTTAGACTGTGGTGTATACGGTGGGGTTACTTGATGCACAATTCCATGTTGTGCACAAAACTCATTAAGTGGAGCATCATACTCACCACCTCTATCGCTTCTCAATGCTTTTATTTTGCGATTGAGTTGATTTTCCACTTCATTCTTATATCGAACGAAAGTGTCTAACGCTTCATCTTTAATTTTTAGTAAATAGATATAGCAATATCTCGTGCTATCATTTGACGAAGGTAATAAAGTACTTACTACCCCCTCTTGAAGGCGTTGTTCGAAAATCACACAAGTCGGTGTGAACCAACTCTAGAGGTTGAGTATTCCGTTCGATCGTTTGAAACGAACTTCGAGTTGACTTAGCCACAACACAAGTTTCGCACTTGTGGTTTAGGTCAATACTAAACTTTGGTATGTGTTCCATGTTAATTAATTTCCGGAGTGATGCATAATTAACATGTCCTAGTTTACCGTGCCATAAACTAGAAGACTCACACACATAAGCAACAGGATTTTTATTGATCTTTTCATGAACAGTCATTACATTAGGCTTTACTAGCCCATCAGAAATGTAACCCTTCCCAATAAAAATCCCTTTCTTGGATAAGATTAGCTTGTCCGATTCAAACACCATCCGAAAGCCGTGTTTGATCAGCAATGACCCCGACACTAAATTCTTGCGAATGTCTGGAACATAGAGCACGTCGTTGAGCGTGAGCTCCTTGCCGGAGGTCATTTTCAGCTTGATCTTTCCCACCCCTTGGACCTCTAACTGGGCCGAGTTGCCCATCCAGACCTTGTCACCGGAGGTCTCCTGGAAGTCGTGAAACATGCTCCTATTTGAGCAAATATGGCGTGTGTCTCCTGTGTCCACAAACCACTCCCTCGGGTTTGACCCGACTAGATTCACCTCGGTGACAACCTCGCAGAGGTCCAAGTTGTCGAGCTCTGCACACATAGCTTCGGTGGTTTTCTTCTTGTTCTTCTGTGGCTTCTTCTTCCTACAATCGGAGGAACGATGCCCGGTAATGCCACAATTGTAGCACTTTCCTGCAAATTTAGAAACTCCACCTATAGGACCCATCTTCTTTTTGTCCTTCCCGCCATGTGAAGAGCCCGACGGATGTTCTACAACATTCGCCTTTGCCCCTCCACTTCTTCTAGCAAGCCCCTCCTCTCTGATTCTCAATCGTATGAGCAGTTGCTCCAGGTTTAGCTCTGTTCTTTTGAGCTTGAGGTCGGCTTGGAAGTCTTCCCACGATCGGGGAAGTTTGTGGATGATGGCTGCCACTTGGAATTCCTCACTGACGCCTACTTTCTCTTCATTGTATTTATTGAAGATGACCGTAAGCTCTTCAGCTTGGGCGACAACAGATTTGCTGTCAACCATCTTGTAGTCCAGCATCTTCCCGACGATGAACTTCTTCGTGCCGGCATCTTTAGCTTGATACTTCTTGTTCAAGCCATTCCAAAGCTCTTTTGCAAGCTTAGCACCAGCATAGACGGGGTACAACGTATCTCCCAGCCCTTCAAGAATAATATTTATGGCGAGATAGTTGTTGTGGTACCACGCTTGGTTCATTGGGCTGGGGGGGATCTTGCTGTAGGTACTCAGTAAATCCCAGGACGGTCAAAAAGAACATCATCTTTTGTTGCCACATCTTGAAGTTTGTTCCATTGAACTTCGGTGGCCTTTGGACCGTGCTAGCGGGCACTGAGATGGCCCCCACCGCATTGGGCGTATGGAGGAAAGGCCCGTCGCTCGCCCAATGGGGTCCAAAAGGATTGACCGGTGCGGGGAAACCCGGGTTCGGTCCAAAGTTGACCGTTGAGGCCGAAGCCATAGTCGGTCCAAGAAACGGGTTTGAATTGCCGACGGGGTAATCCCCCGTGGTTTCGAGCCCAGGAATGGGTCGAGGGGCCGACCCAAAGATCGAGCTCGACATCGAGAAGGAGGTCATGGTGGCAGCCCCCACACTCGACCCGAAGGGCAGCGGTGAGGAAGGCACAACCATGGCGACCGAGGTTGTTTCGACCGGAACTTCGGAACTCATTCCATTGCCGGAGGAACCCGCGATGCCGAATCCGAATTCCATAATACTACCTTAAGAATGTTGGATTTTACAGCGGAAAAAAAAAATAATCTGAACTTATAAAACGTTCGGATTTTACAACAAAATAAAAGAAACTAAAACTTGGAGTCTTCGGGAGCTCGAACGGACTTTTCTTCGGACGGAGAACAAAGGGTCGCCGGAGATGTTTCTTGAACCGTAGGTAAGGAAAGCGGAGTCGCCGAAGCTTTCCTTAAGGTAGTATTGCCCGCCTCCCGCACTGGCTAACGTGGGCAATCTCCTCCCAGGATAAAACTGCTACGTGCGAAGTCTAGAGCGGTAGAACAGAGCACCGGCGAACGAGAATGACGGAGCTACTGCCGGAGAAGATGATCGGAACTCGGGGATTTGATGGAAAGTTGTAACGTAGAGAGAGAGAGATTTTTGAGTGTGCTTCGGTGTGTCTCATCTCTCGACCAGCCTCTCCTTAAATAGGAGGAGGCTTGGTTAACTGGACAGTCCGGACGGAGATACCGAGAGCCCAATGCGACTCTTCGGTCGGCCATGCATGCATGCTTCAAACTCCGTACACTTCATTATTAACGAAGTGTACACGCGCGTTTCGTTTTGGTCTCGTAAAAAACTAGCCACGCCACGAACGCGGGCGCGCCCCGCCCCGCCCCGCCGCGCGCCCGCCGAGCCGGACGGACGGCGGCAGCGGGCGCGCGAGGAGTTCTCTTCTTGTTCCTTTCATAAGCTCAATTCAATGCCTAAGCTTAAATATGAGAATACGAAAGGTTTAGAAACCGGTGTGGGACAAAGGCACTTACTCTACCTTAGTATTCAACTTTGAGAATTAATTTCTCATTCACCCGAGCACCGTTTATGGCGTGTAATATGTCAAGACGTTCGTCTTACTTACGAGATTAATCGTCCATAATTATTTTGGAAAAATATGTTGTGGACCCAATCGAATTTATGTCCGAAAATGTCCAATTTACTTTAAAATTTCCAACACTACCTGAGTCATTATACAAAATGACGATATCGGAGTGCAATGGAGTCCTTGCGAGGTTTAGAACATGCATCATGTTCACATCATCATGTATTCATCATTATGTATTTCTCATCATGAACCACCATCTTGATCCTATGCTTTAATTAATGTGCCATGTCACAAATATTTATATATGTTTATGTGAATGCATATATTTCTATATGTTTGTGAATTATTCAGTAATTCTAACGTGGTACCACTTAGCGGTTTCGCTATGCGTGTAATTTTGCACTTTTATTGGGCTACACGTAACTAATAAGAGGATAATGACGAAACCACTTGTGGGGGGCATTGAGTCAGAGGAGGTGCAAGGATTGCAAGCAAATGTTTGATCATTAGTCTTTTTATTTAAATCATTATTTAATGGTTGTTGTATTTCTGCTTTACTCTGAAAAATATTTTCAAATGGGTCGCAACCCAGAGTCTGTAGTTTGACATTGACTAAGTGTTTGTGTTTTTTTAAATTTTCAGCAAAAACTTTATTCAGCTCCTTTTCACCTTATTAATACGTGTAATTCCGGGTTATACAGATTAGGGTGTTAAAGGTCACCACCAATACCCATAATATACCAGTGTAATCCTCAAGCTAGAAGTGAAGGAATGTGAAATAAGTACCACATCCAAATCACATAAAGTTATGAGACAAAATGTATATAATGATTTTTGTGAAATTCTTTAAATGATCTTACAAATTTTTAAATTTCTACTAATGACATTATTTTTTGAAGAGATTAAGACGAGACTCAAATTTGAATTAAGTACAAGTATAACTTTATCACAGTTTCATATCATTTTAATATTTCCATACTCTTAATTATACTAAAAAGGTCAACTGTTGAGACGTAACTGAAAGTAGTAAGAGGCAAAGCCAACCATCATGGGTTGGAATACCTTATATACCATGAATTAATTCAGAATTACTAGCATTTATTATAATAATTATACTCTATAATTGTGGCATATTGAGAGTTAATTCTGAATAATAATAATCATCGCGCCCGCTTGTTTTTTTGGAAATTTCATTCAAATTTGTAAAATAACTTTCTACTTCTATGATTTCTTTTTTTAAACATTAGTCAAACTTTGGATAAAAATAAAAAATAGATATAAAAATAACGTAAATGATAAAAATATTTAAAACCATACAAAATTAATGAGATAAATAAGATAATAATCAATAGAAATAAACTTGGAACTAATAAGAAATAAAAAATGGAGTGGTGAGTTTTAATATTTTACGCACTATACAGGGTATTAATATACCACTACGTCTTATTTTTAGGAAAGATTATATAGAAATAATCTCAATTTTACCCATTCTTTCAAAAAATAAGTAGTACTACCTCCGTCCCAGAGTATTTGTCCATTTTTGACTTTTTTTCATTCAAGCATTTTCAACTTTTGACCTTTAATTGAACAAAATATATGTTTTATATAAATTAGATAAAATAATATTTTGAAAATATTTTATGTAATAAGTCTAATAAACTATTTTTCTATGAATATCTAATATCATTTTGATTTAATTTGAGTTCAAAATTTATTGATTTCGACTGAAAAAAGTCAAAAGAGGATAAAAACTCTAGGACGGAGGAAGTAGTACATTAATATTATGTATAATGCATAAAATGTTGGAACCCTCCACACCTTTTATTTTTATTTTATTTATTAGCAGTTTCAATTTAATTTCATTGATTACCATATATTTTATTGATTACCTTATTAATTTCATTAATTTTTTATGGTCTTAATTTTTCTTTCTCATTTTCGTTATTTTGTATATCTATTTTTTTATTTTTTCTAAGGTAATACTAATCTTTTCTAAAAGAAAAAGAAATGCAGGTAGAAAGTCTTTTTTAAAATTTAAATGAAAGTTTCAAAAATAAAAATTTTAAAATAAAAATTCATCAAAAATAATCCCAATTACATTTGTAAAAGAGGAAAGAAAATATTTAGCATTTATTCTCGTATATATTAGTTTTTGTAGTTTCCTTGTATAGAGATTTCTTTTTCTTTGTTAATTAGGACTCTTAGCTATATATACGTCTGGGTTGTAAATTGTAAACACAAGAGAGAATATACAAAGAATTTCCTTCCGAATAATTCTTTCATGGTATCAAAGCCAAAACCCTAAAAATTTCCGCAGCTACTATTCACGATCGACCAGCATCGCGTCCATCGATCATCGTTTGTCGCTGCTGCCGAAGTATCGGAACGGTCGACCGCCCCTAGTAAAACGGTCAAAGGTATCGACCGTCCCGACGACAGATTCTCCAGTTGCTGTAGTAGTTTCGCCTGTTATTGACCTGTGATTTTCGGTATGTCCGAAGAGGTTTCCATGAAGATTATTTCCAATAAAAAGAGTGAAGAGCGTGAGGAAGAAGAAGTTGGAGTGCGTCGTCGATGTATCTCTCCATATGACTTGTCCCCGAGCAACAATCCGGCTATGATTTTGACCCATGTCGTTCTGAAGGGGGATAATTATGATGAATAGTCCAAATCTCTACGTTTGGCTCTTCGAGCACGCAATAAGTTTGGATTTGTTGATGGAACAATTGAGATCCCCGATCCTGATTCGGATGATTTTGATGATTGGTGGACAAACCATTCACTGTTGGTCTCTTGGATTCGGAACACGATTGATCCAACCTTGAGATCCAGCATATCGTTTGTGGAGAAGGCACCGGATCTGTGGAGCGATTTGAAGGCTCGATTCTCTGTAGTCAATGGGCTGAGGGTTCAGCAGTTGAAGCGAGACTTGCCGGAATGCAAACAGAAGAATCTTTCCATAATGGAATATTATGGGGAGATGAAGAAATTGTGGGATGATCTAGCAGATTTGGAGCGGTTCCCGATCTGTAAGTGTAGGAATTGCACGTGCGGCTTGCCGGAGAAGCTTGCGTAGATGCGTGAGAGGGAACGATCACATCAATTTTTGATGGGATTGAACGATGCTGTATATGGAACTCTGCAGTCAGATTTGTTGGCTCAGGAAGTCATACCACCTGTGGCGAGAATATACAACATTCTTGTGCAAGATGAAATGGCACGAAGCAGCATGCACAAAGGAGAAAATAGTGATGCGGGTGCTTCCGTGTTTGCAGTAAAGAATAAAGGAGACACGAAGGAATTTCTGTGTTCCCATTGTGGAAAATCGGGGCATGAAATTGATGCATGCTACAAGCTGATTGGATACCCTGAGGGGTGGGTGTTCCGTGATCAGGCCAGAAGAGGAAGAGAAAGCAGCCGAGGAAGGGGTCGTGGAGCTCGACGAGGCGGCGGACGGTCGACCGTTGCGGGCGGACGAGGTGAAGTTCATGCGGTCTAAGGAGAAGAAAAAGGACCGTCCCCGCTGCCAAATTTTGAGGATTTGACGTTTGAACAGTGGCATGCTGTTTCTCATGCCCTTTCGCTCTCCTCTACAGATAACTCACAGAAACTCTCAGGTATCCCTGTATCACCTCGTTGGATTATTGATACTGGTGCGTCCAATCATATGATAGGTGATCTTTCGTTATTATATGATGTTGTGGGAGTGTCTCC